CACAGAAGGCCACATATTGTATGACTCCCTGTATATGAAATGTCTGGAATAGGCAAATCCATAGAGACAAAAAGTAAATTAGTGGTTGCCAGGGGCCAGGAAGTGCTGGTGAAGGAGTAGGAGGGTTTGAGGGGTTGGGGGAGAAAGAGTGATTGCTAATGGGTATTGGGTTTCTATTTGGGGTAATAAAAGTGTTCTGAAACTAGATTGTGGTGACGATTACGAATATACTTTGTGAATATACTAAAACCACTTAATTATACATTTTAAATGGGTGAATTTTATGGCACATGAACTACATTTCAATAAAAACAAACGAAAAATATCAATGATTCTTAATTGTTTCTGGATTAGCAACCCTTTTGAGAGCTAAAGACTCTCAGGGAAAAAAAATTCCATACACATAAAATATTGCACATGATTTCAGTAGATTAAGACCCCCTAAAGCTCACGAAGAACCCCAGGTTAAGAACCTCTGACCTAAATCCCTAATATGAAATTAGTTACGATCGCTTCAAAAATTCTTAAGTAATACATTACTTAATATGAGACATGATTTCTTTAAATGAGATAGTTTATAATAAAATTATTTTTCTTACCTCACTAGTCGAAAGCTGTTTATGTTATTACTTGAGGATTAGTGGGATACTAATTTTTTCCAAATAACACTAACACTCACCATCTTATTGGATAGTGACAGTGTGCCAGGGTACTGTACCAAATGCTAACCATAAATTATCCAATTAAATTCTCACAACAGTCCTATGAAGAAGGTTACTATTATTCATTCCCACTTTATAAAAATTGTAAGTGATCTCTGCAAGATCAACCTGCCCACAATGTCCCAGCTACTAAGAGGCAGGGCTAAGAGCCCCACAGTGCTAGAAGATCCCAAAGCCTAAATGAATTCAAATCAGTACGTGTCAATGCATTTCCATGAAAGAAATGTACCTGAAACATCTGCTACAATCTTAAATCATTAACACTCACCGGAAATATTCCAGCAATGGTGCCCAAAAGCAAAAGGGCATGGTGATGGGTTTGAGGCATCTCTGAAAGGCGGATGCACTGAACTATTAACTCCACGTTGAACTTCTCCTCATCTACAACATCTAGAGTGGTAAGAAAGAAAAAAAATGTAAGTGGCAGGTACATTCACATGCAAAGTAGATAATTTCTCTACTCTTTCAACAAGTACATACCTTTGGGTATTCTGCCACCATCCGGAGAGAGTTTTTGGCAGATGTTGAGCAGACAACCAAGAATTAATTGTTTGGTGTATTCCATATTTCCCTGCTCTGGTGGCAAAGGTTCTAAACACCTTCAGGATACCCAGAAGAGAATGACAGGAGACGTAAAAGTTGGACAATTCATTGTTGTACTAACAACTACTGTCCACAACTTATATTAAATAAGGACTAACTAAAATACTATCAGCAAACATGGAGTCTATAAACAAGATGTAAGATTTCTAACTCTTAATTTTTCTCACATAGGTGCTTACATCAAATTACCTTTCCTCTCTGTTTTATTTTCCATTAGCCCATTTGAAATCTTAGAGGACAACCTTGAGAATTATTTTGCTTTTCACATGAAAGCACATTCTACAATTCAGTGATATAGTCTATAGCTATCTATTTAATAATTTATACCTAAAAAATACAGCACGTACCACACTGTGTCTTTAAATACAAGTGACAATGTCCTGGGCATGATAGTGAAAGTTCAGAAGGAATGTAAGCTATAAAGTGAGTATTCATTTACTACATAATACAGGATGAAGGTCAGTTTGGGGTACTGGCAACCTGTACCTCAAACCATTCTTTTAATCTTTCAACTACAGTACTTGCTTTTTACAGACTATCTAAATAAGTCGAAAAGAAAATGTTAAATAAAATAAGATGAGCAAGAATTAGAATCCTGGCCGGGTGCAGTGGCTCACACCTGTAATCCTAGCACTCTGGGAGGCCGAAGCAGGTGGATCGCTGAAGGTCAGGAGTTCGAGACCAGCCTGAACAAGAGCGAGACCCCATCTCTACTAAAAAATAGAAAGAAATGATCTGGACAACTTAAAATATATATATAGAAAGAAAAAATTAGCCGGGCATGGTGGCGCATGCCTGTAGTCCCAGCTACTTAGGAGGCTGAGGCAGGAAGATTGCTTGAACACAGGAGTTCTAGGCTAAAGCAAGCGATGATCACTTGCACTCTAGCGCCTGGGCACTCCAGCACCTGGGCAACAAAACAAGATCCTGTCTCTAAAAAAAAAGCAATACACAAACGGTGAAAGCATATAAGCATATGAAAAAATGCTCAACATCACTATTATGGAATTACAAAATCAAATCACAAGATAACACTTTCATACTCACTAAGATGGCTATAATAAAAAGACAGACAATAACCAGTGTTGGCAAGGATGTGAATATAATGGAACCCTCATAGACAGCTGGTGGGGGAAAAATGGTATGACCACATTGGAAAATAGTCTGGCAAGTTACTCAAAAAGTTAAACATAGAGTTACCCTGTGACCCAGCAATTCTACTTCTAGGTATATATCCCCAAGAGAAATGAAAACATGTCCAACATAAAATCTTATATATAAATGGTCTTAGCAATGTAATTAATAATAGCCCAAAAGAAGAAACAATCCCCATAAATGTCCGTCAACTGATGAACATAAACAAAATGTGGTATATACATACAATGGAATATTATTCAGCCATAAAAAGGAATACTGACTCAAGCTTCAACATGGATGAACCTCAAAAGCAATATGCTAAGTGAGGCCAGGCGCGGTGGCTCACACCTGTAATCCTAGCACTCTGGGAGGCCGAGGTGGGCAGATTGTTTGAGCTCAGGA